CTTACTGCAGATGCCAACACACCCTGCCAGAGCTGAGCCAGAGGCACGGATCCAACTTGGGCAGCTGGGCATCTTCCTCCACTAACAGACTAACAGCTCAGGCTGGAAGGCATCTCCCCCCAGCCTTCCCAGAGCACATCACTAGAACATGGGACTTAGCACATCACATTTTCTGCATCTCTACACCTAGGAAAGATCACAGCTATTGCCAGTGATTGCAGTGATCTCCTTTCTACTATCAGCTAAAAGGGACATCTAATGGCTCGAGCTGCTTGCTAACACCACCAAGGAATTTATCTGGTGCAAAGGATCATTTCTCTGGGCATTGCATAAGTGCAGAGAACTAATTTTTACCCCTTGCCAGCTGGGAAAGCGGTAAGAATAAAGGGTGGGAAGAAAAAGCAATTACCCCCCTTTTTTTCTATTTGTATGATGTGATTTATCCATGATAAACAGAGGGAGACCATGACAGACCTTCTGTACCTCTTTTATACTTCTTAGGAAGTAGGAAACAATTTCTTTCAAGAGCAGCAGTCAGTGATTTCTCCAAGGTCAACAGTCAGTTCAACCTAGACAGCACAAATGCTCATTGGCATTTCAGAGGTGAACAGCAAATAAACATCAGTTGTTGAACAGATTCCCTCCTCTCTTCCTTGTGCTAGATCTGATTTCTCCTTACGGAAAAAGTTAAAAGACATAGGTATTTCTAAGTAGCTTCCATTGAGCTACATGGTGTCACATTGCTGGGGCTGCCTTACTCTTTGGGCAGGACAGGGAATCACTCTGGGGGAACATCCCTGGATGTGTACAAGGTCAGGTTGTATGGGGCCCTGGGTCGTCTGAGCTGGCAGGTGGCAGCCCTGCCCATAGCAGGGGCTTGGAACAGGATAGGCTTTAAGGCTCCTTCCAACCCAAGCCATTCTATAATTCTGTGATCCCAGAGCACTCTGCCTGTGCCAGATGTATTCTGGTTGGATATTATCTGGAGCGCACAGTCACCTGGAAAGAAACGCAGAGATGCATGAGGAAGTAAGCTGAATGCAGCTGAGAATCTGGGGGGAGAGGGAGATGCGATATCACTGTGCACAGCTCGCGTGCAACTCAAGTCAATCCACTCTGGGCATGACATTTCTCCTGGTAGAACACGTCCTCTCCCCACTTCCTCCGCTCTAATACACTGATGCCTTCATTTCCAAAGGTGACATGATTACAAGGAATGCTAAAAATACACATGGGCCTTCGTTCTCTCCCCCACCTCCCCGCCTCCGGTAGAACAGAATTTCCAGCTTTCGTGTTAGCAATCAAACAGTGATTTAACCTGAAAGGTGTTCTGGGGGCCAAGAGCATTCATTTCTTTTCATTATGTCCCTCCTTTATACAACACAACGTACCAAGGCTCACACAGCCCAGCCTAGCTCTTTGGATGACTACCAGCCCTTTTGCCCAGCCAAAGGGAAAGGATACCATTCCCTCTTCCACCCTCCAACATTAACCATGCCCTTCTGCACAGAAAGAGCTCCAGGCTTGTACAGTTCAAACGTGGCCATTTCAACTACTCTTTGAGGCCAGTACAGCCTTTTCCTTGCCAAAAGACCAAGGTTATAGCAGACATAGAGTAGGGCTCCATCACATGCAGCAGCCTGATGCTCCCTCAGAACATGAGCCACTCAGTGCATACATGCCAGAAAAGCCCTGCCAGCTGCCCGGGGGAGAGGGCCTCAGAAACCAGACAGAATAGCACTTAAATACAGAAGACCTTAGATAACAAGAAGGTGATTATAAAAATCCTCAGTTTGTCTTGCTCCAAACGTTCAATGCACTTGTAAATCTACAAAACAAGAACGAACACCACATTCAGCCCATGGATAAGACAGACTTTATGCAAGCAAGCTGCTCAAAATGATGGGAAAATAGTTAATAAAATTACAGCTTATTCATAAAATTAGATCACTATAAATTTTCGTTGCTCCAAATGCTTTTACCTCACATTTGAAACATTTTCTTTCTCTGCTGAGGTTTGAAAGACATACCTAAATACTAAGTTACAGTAATTCCTGCTTGTGTGTTAGGTATCCAAAATAGAAGCTTTAATTACAGGTTGGAAATGCTATAAATGGCAGGCAATAGATCTCAACAACAGTGGATCAAAAGGGAAAGAAAGCCAGCAACATGGTTGTTTTTGTATAAAACCAGAGCACATTAGCCTGGAACAAGTCCTCAAACGCTAGACAGAATTTTACTTCAAGCAAAATACTATGCAAAAGATTTATGACTTAGGAAGATTAAGAAAATGCAATCACTTCTACTTAGGATCGTTGTCAGCATCACAAAATTCAGGTACTGAGACTTTTTCAACGTTCTTTCAGAAAAAAATGCCCCTTACGCCTCTAATTTGTTCACAGAAGAGCTACGTGACTGAAAGGTACTTCTGTCAGTGAGCGTCTCAAAGTAATCAATTTCAAAATTTAATAGGAGAAATCGATGGTTGAAGCATTCCAGCACTTGTTTTGGGGTCCATAAGTTTTTTATTTATTTAAAATCAAGTATTTACTTAAAATCTCTGGATGCTCTGCAGCAGCGCGCACATCTCACGGAGCAACTTCATTACAAAGTTAAACACAGGATATCTTTCCGTACAAAAATAGCACACGCACTTTATGTTCTAGTTACTGATCAGGGATCGTTTGAGTATGAAATTTGTACTAAAGGATAATGAGTTATTCCCTTGGGAACACGGAAGCAAGCTGCTCTGTAAACCCAGAAACACGAGTTACCTCTCAAAAAAAAAAAAAAAAAAATGGAAGACTGCCTTCTGAATGACTGGTTCATTACAGAAACTAATGATTCGTTCATTTTAAAAGATGCACACAATGACACACTCACATGTGAGCCAGGCTCACTGCTACACGCCAAGAGGAGGCTGTGCTCCCCACAAGGACAGCCCACTCCTTTCAGGTCTGCACAGGACTCTTTGAAGGGAGACAGAGACTGCATGCCCAGGGTATGTGGTTTATTACTTATCCCCACCTTTCCTTTTTTTAGTAACAAGATGGTCACCATATCATTTTATGGTTTCTTCCAGAGATAATACGTATGATTTTCCTGTTCCATAAGTGACTGAGGGATTACTTGGTAAAAATAAAAACCCTTGCATATTGCAATTATGCTGATGCAACCATATAACACATTCCATATAATCCCTAAGCTAGATCCCCTGCAGAAAGCAAAGCAGGGACTGCTCTGAGCAAATTCAGCAGAAAAAGTTGCACAGATCTCTCCCAAAATCTCCTCTTATGAAGATCAGGCTCCTGAAGCCACATCAGGATGAAAAAAAATCAGGAAGGAAGGGATGCATTATCTGGGTGATTCCCCAGACCTTGACAGAGGCACCACCTCCAACCACAGTACCCAGCATGCGTCATAGCTCTGGTGGGCAGACATAGAAACACCCAATGTCCCAACAAAATCCAAGCATGCAAGTTTTTTGGGGGGAAGGAGGGGGGGGGGGGGGGGGGAAAGGTTGTTTGTTTTTTAATATCAGGGCCATCAAAACCTTCACTTTGTTCTGCCTGCCTCTTTTTTAATTGCAAATTAATAGATCTGTGTACAAAAGCCTGGACTGGGTGAGTTCTTCATACACTGAGCCTGGCTGGTGATTACAGTGTCCCCTGTGGGTGCTTCAGTTCGGATTTCAGAAGTTCAGGAACTACCAAAACTTGAAAAATATGGGAGTATTACCACTGTATTATCATCACAGCATTGTAAGGGCTTCTTGGGTGAGATGGTTTTTTTGTTTTGTTTTGATTTTTCGCCTGGTCCCAGAACCTCACCAATGGACGAACACAAAGTCCTCAGGAGGAGACTTACCTGAAGCGTTGACTTCTTAAAAAAATAATAACAATTAAAAATTTGACTTCTAAATCTAAGTCAGGTCTCCTATGGAGCAGGAATGACAGTAGTTAGAGATGGAAAAGAGCCAGTAAGTCACTGAGCCTGGACTGCTGCAAGTTCCCAGAGACACGCCAAGGACATGTCAGGACTTGGCCTGGGACTGCATGTGATCTCAGCCAAAAGGGCAAGAAGTGGCGATGGGATGAGGACAAAAGCGATCAGCAGCTGCCTCTGCGCACTCTGCCAAAGGAGAGCCAGGGCAAGCCTCCTTGGAACAGAAGTCAGAACTTCTCAAGTTAGGCAGATGGTATTTGATCTGCTCTTATTACATAATCCTGAAAGGTCTGTACCCAGTTTTCTACTGTCCTAATAACGCTGTTTTGCATGTTACAAGAAACCTCAAGCAGCATCAATAAACTATTCTCACAGGGACAGTTTGCTGACACACTCTTCTTGCTTTTGCAGTACACAAGGTTATCTTTAATGGCAGAAAATATCTTTTTATTGTTCCCTGCTGACTTGGTGGAGATAGATCCACTGACCTTACCGCCTATGCAACTTGTAGTCTAGCTGGAGGATGTTCTAAGCAAAACTTTTGCTCCTAAAGGAGGCTGAGTTGTCAAGAAGCTCAGAGCTTTTCAAAGAAGAAATTTAAAGTAATGTCAGCATGCTCTGATTTTCAAACTTCATTCGGAGCCCGTAGTCCCATTCACAGGGCCCCGAGTTCATGATTTTGTTATTAGTTCAGCACAACCAATAAGCATGTTTGCACTTCACAGGGAGCACAGAGACCAAAAGGACTTTATAACAAGTGTGCAATTTCAGACTTTTGCACCAAGAATACACATTTGCATGGCAAAAAGCATTTGCAGTGGGGTGGATAGCCAAATAGCAGTAAGACTTGACCCCAGATTGGATGGAATATAGTTACATCAAACATACAAACACGAGCAGACTGGAGTCTTTCCACGCTTGAAAATCACTTCATTGCTAGACAGGTATTCTGTTTATGAAGAAGCAGAACTGCTTCTGACAGGTTCTTGGCGATACCAGGTAAAGTACTTCTGGGTAGGCCAATAAACATAAACAAAAAGGAGACTGGAACTCACCCAACTGGTGAAGGGGCTCTCTAGCAATACAGCACTCCTCAGGTAGCAGCCTAGGTACAAGACGTGCTCTTCCTTCAGTGGCTGGCCTTTATATGAGCGCAGGGCAGCTCCCACCTGAGTCCACTCCTTTTGCCCATGTGCAAAGCACAGGTGCAAGCAATGTGCCTGCGCTCCCTGGGCCAACCACACACTCCTTCACCAGGTGCTTAATCACCAGCTCAAGCCCTGACCTAACAGTTCCCCTCTAACAAGTCATTTAAAATGATGGAAAACATACACCTATCTTTTACACACGCGTAGTGCCCTTTTGAGACTATGAAAAATGCTGGATTTCTTCTTATTATATTACAGCATATGTGAATTCTGCTTGAAATACTTAATACAAAATGACATAATTTAAGACAAAATGAACAGAAATAAATTTAGGTTGCAGTTTTAGTGAAAGGAGGAAGACAGAAGGACTTGTTTTCAGACACAACATCTCAGCTGACGTAAAAGCCACAGTATCATCAGCCAGGAGAGCAGAACATTGGAGACAGTAGAGATAAGGTCTTCAAAACCCCTGTCAACTGCAAGCATGCAGCTTACCCTGTGCAGTGTGGGGATAACACTCCTGTGCATTGCCACAGCGTGTGCAGCTACACACATACAGTGAGCATGAAAGACACAGATTCACCAATTAACTGAGGAATGGACTACAGCAGTTGGTTCAAAAATGTATCAGAGAAAAATAATCTATCCGGTTGATTAACATTTAGTAACTTGTTCATTGAGAGGAACCTCTGTTGTTACATCACTCTTACTGAGAATATTTTCTGGGGGGGAAAAAGTTTTGGAAATTGCTGAAACGTTCTGTGTTGATGTTCTTTTGAGCGAAAAATATGCTTTTAAGACCAGTGGCTTTCCATTACTGAAGTTAAGCTCCCTGAGAAAAAAGAATCAAGAACAGGAAAACACAAAAAGCAAAATAAAACATCACTGTTTACTCAAAATCACTTATAAAACCACCGCCTTTCAAAACACAATACCTGACTTTTCATTCTGACTTGAGACAAGAGCATTTTTAAGCCCAGAAGTTCTTCCTGAGACAGAAATTATTTTCCTTTTTCCTCTATCCAGAGGGATCAGTCAGAAACACTCTGTTTTCTAATTCTATTTTTGTCCCTAAGCTTTTCTTCTTTCCACTTCTTAAATTATTTTTTCTTAGTTTCTTTTTATTTTCTTTCCTTTTCTGCCCTATGTACTGTAAAACAGAAGAAACTTGAGCTGGGAAGCCAAGATTATTTGCTCTTTCTCTCCTCCTTTCCTCTGTTATTCAGAGGGAGTATGAAAAGAGCTATATTAAGCTGAAATTTTATTCTGCCATCCTCTATTCAACAAAAGATAGTCCACTAAAGCCACTAAATCACAGATAACACTTCTCTGGGCAACATTATTAGGAGCTGACAGCTGGTGATGGATGAAGATCTCATCTTTTATAGAAAAAAATACATTTAATTTCCTTTGTACATAAAACAGAGAGCAAAGCATTGTGTATCTAAAGATAAAAAGAGACCCAGTGTATGCAGGGTGCCATACTTAAGGGGATACAATAATGGGGCTGTGTTTCAGAGCTTACATTTTACAGGACATCTTCAAATTAATTTAGAAACCACTATTCTTCAACTCTCAATAGACAGTGAACACTAAAAAAAGCAGAGGACATTTTGCGATCAGCTCCATTAGAAATAAGCAGCACAGAACCTGAGCTGTTACTTTTTACCAAGAACACTGGAAGAAAGGAGGAAAAAAAGAGAATGCATCTAGAGGAACAGACTGATGGGTTTCTCTCTGATTATTCCTGGGATTAAGCAAGACTCCTGGGAGCCACTGGGGCTCCCCAAGACTGATAACGGAAAGGATTTCACGCAGAACATGCACAGTAGAGTCAGTATCAACGCCAAGGATTTCATCTGCCACCTTGACAGATGGCTAAATGTTAAATTAAATACACTATTTGTCCATCAATTAAAGCACATGAAGCCTGACCCCAAGCATGCTGGGTGAAAGCACATAAATTTCTCCCGCAGAGACGCGTAAAACACAGTGCTGCCTTATTGCTAGTTTGTTTATTTTTTCCCTCAAATGACCTGTGACCACGACACATTCTACTTTTCACATTTGTAATGTATGAATGTATTTTACATGGCCTTTCTGCAGCACTAACAGCTGCTCCTTTGGTTGAATTTAATTTTAGCACACCTCCCAAGCAGGAGATGGTGCGGATGAAACTTTAATTACCTGTCTGTGCTAAGGAGGACTTTAACTGCACATGTTCAGCATGAAAATACAGTCGGTCTGATTCCAGCGGTAGGAAAGACTGCTTTGGTTCTCCTGGGGTAAGGAAGAGTTTAAGAAAAGCATCTGTATGGAGTTCTTGTTTCTATGTCCAGACTTTGGATGCGTCTGGCTGCAAGTCCTCATAGGAAAAGAAGGCCCAACAGTCAGCAATGACCTTACATTGAATATAAATTTGTAGTTAGCTAGGCTAAAATACAGGGGATGTTTACTGAGAACCTTACTCCAATGAAGGATGAAAAGAAACTTTCCACTGAAAACACTGAGGAAAAAGCAGTCTTTCCAAAAACAGAAAATTATGGAAAATTCTGTGCTCATATTCAGGTCATTTCTGCTTTCTCTAAGACTTTAGACCAACACTTTTTTTCCTTATTTTTCTCCAGTTCCCATAAGAAACATCGCTTGAATTGAAGGGTAATACTTAGGCTTTCCTCTTTCTTACAGAAAGAAAAGCCCATAGAAAATGCTGGAAATCAACATGCAGCTTCTCCTGGGCTTGTGCTGGAAGTTCAAACAGAGCAACTTAAAGCAAATCCAAGATCATCGAGAATTACAAGGATTTCAGAAGGTGAAACATACTGCTTTAAGTTTCACTTATAAACACAGTACACAGTGTACACGCAGTTAACTGTAAAACTTCCACAGAACGCTCACCTTTAAACCACCCCAGGTTACTGCTTCTCTGTGCAGAAATGGGTTTCTCCTGATGCGAGTGCTCAGCACTGTGCACGTGTTCCTGCCAACACCGATCAGTGTTACTGATCCTGTTTGTCAGGACTGCTCCCCACCTGCTGATGGGGTGTATCTAAGACAAAGCATTCTGTAGTCTGCTTTAAAAGTTCCACCACTCATCTCTCATTAGGTCCCTCAAAAAGTAATGCCTTCTATTTGTTTCCACGCAAACCACAACAGTTACAAAGAACACAGTAACACTATTTGATAGAGCAAATTCTCAGCTACAAAACGTTGTTTTTCAACACAGTCACCACCATTTGCCCATGAGCTGATTGAGATGCTCTTCATTTTGTGATATCACAGCTGCGCATGGCTGCCCAGAACAGAACTTTTCTTTTTCACTGCCGTCCCCACTGCTGAAACAGTGCTAACAGCTGGCAACCATCCAGCTGGACACTCATTGGTGCTACACTGAGCTCACAGATTCACAGGGCCTTAGAAAGGACCTCTAGGGACCACCTCTGCTAAAGCTCTCCTGATCCTGGAGACAGCTGTAATTCATCAACTCTGGACTCTCAGCAACAGGTGCTGGATGCTTAGATTGACAGATCAGGAACTTGGTAGGGCTGTTCCCAGGTACGCTAGAGATGATCAGAAGTGGCTTTCAGAAGGATAATTAAAACAAAACAAAACAAAAACAAACAAAAAAAAACCAATCAAAATAAGCATGAATCCCAAACCAACAAATGTTTGCCTCTCTGTGTTATGAACTACAATTCTCCTTATTTCTGGAGTGTCTTCTATTTCAGGATGTGTGACAACTTAAGAGACTTTAATAGTGTCTCTCAGTCTGGTACTTTCATAAGTATTATTTCCAATTCTGTTGCCGAGAAAAGCACAGCATAAAACATGAGGCTGTCGTCCAAATGCATGGCAATAAGGCAAAAATCCTGAGGCAGCTCTACCCATTTTATGAAAAGGACAGCTTCTGAAGCTGCCAAATGTCACTGCTGGTTTTTTTGTTTTGTTTTGTTTTTGTTGTTTTAATTCAAAAACAAATAAAAGGGGGTGGGGGGAATAAATGGGATTTTTCAAGTGGAAGATCACTAAATATTCAGTCCAACTGGGACTATCGCTTCATGCATACCTTGAAGAGAAGGGGCAAGTTAAAATGTTTTCCAACTGCATGTCATTTCTGTGCTAAGATAAGTCCATCACTTTCCAGAAATGTCATCTCAAAGGCAGTTACAAATATGCCCTTGGAAATTACAAGAAATACAACACCTGTGAAAGTGAAGTAGGGGAACACTGCAACCCACAAAGAAATATCAAAAGCCAAAACTGGGTCCTACATCACAACATTAAAAGTGTTCTCCACAGAATTAACTGCAACCACATTCCAGAAATGTTAAAATAAGATTACTGATCCCAAAATACCCCTCGTATCAATTTCCTAAAAATACATGGGTTATTTTCAGTGTGTGATTTGGCCACGAAGGAACGTGATATACATAAGGGCTTCATCAAAGAGAAATATCTTTTCTTCTTCCCATGAGGGAAGAGGTAACTTTTCCTATGTGCTGTTCTTAGAAAGCCACATGCTTATTTCAGGGGAGGTATCATACCTAATGTGTGCAAAACTGGAAGCTATTGATTCCTCACCATCTGCAAAATAAAGGTAACTTCAGTCAAGGCTGGGAAAGGAAGACACTTCCTCTGGAACAGACATAATGAATCTGAAGAATCCACTTAAGATGGGTCTATGCCATGCAACGTAAGGAAGCAATTCCAGTGGCCCAGCTAGCACCTTAGCAGCTGCCATGGTGCTAGTGTTAGTAGGAGCTCTAGCTCAGGGAAGGCTGTCACTGCACTTACTGCACTCTGAGCAATCAATCTTGCTGCTGCCAGTGGAGCTGCACCAGAATTTGAATTTAGGAGCTGAAAAGATGCTTAGCAAGCTAGGCAGTTTGAGTCGCTCCTTATTTGTGCTTATTTTATATCTTCTTTGCCCGAGAACATCGTATTAACTTCCAGGTAAAAAAGAATGTAGAAACAATGAAATGTTCCTTCTTCTCAGTTATAGCAAAGCTTAATGTCCACATATTCTTGGTTTTTATAATAATTTTATAATAATTTCCTTATAGCATATACATTTGCCTTGTCTTGTACTGCTCCTCTTGGTCCTCTCATGGTTATTTGCTAGCACATTTACTTAGAAGCAAAGGTACATATGGTTCTGCACAGGGAAACGCACAAACACACAGCTCCAGCCTTGTTCCAAACGAGATACACATTCTGATGGTCTTCACAGCTCTGTCAGGAGAAAACCTGCAGAAAACATGGCGAAGTCATTTTACTTACTGCTTTATGACTTGCTCCTCAAACTCTTCAAAAATCAAGGTAGATTTCTCTTCCTGAAAGACTGGACCTTATCACAAGAGACTGAAAAAACTACATGCTGAGAGAAGATTTACATGAGCACAAGGAAGCTACCCCTAAATAAAGTGTCCAAAGGGACATTTCGACTGCATTTCACAAATCCCCTGCAGAGAGAATAACCACACGTTTGTGAGTTCCCAAGGTTTTATCTATAGGCATCACTGAATACTCTGAATCCAGAATCTACAGTTAATTTGTGCTCTAGTGCTCTATTCCTCTGAAGAAGCATATCCTCCTCTAATAGCAAATAAACAGCAAAGACAAAAAGATGTTTCAGAATAATTCATCAAAAGGTAAGCATTTTTGAGCATGTGCACAAATATGCATGTAATCATACACATAAGATGCCCTTTACCACTACACAGTACTTCAGGAAGATGCTGCTGCAATGCTTGCTCACATGAAAACTGCACACATCTTGGTAACTTAAGCTGAGAAGCTCCAACACAAAGGTCTTGCCTGCATGCAGACACTGATAGTTAAACTAATAAAAAAATCAGCCCACAGCTAAATAAATGCTACTTGACCAATTACCAGCTGACACTCTGCACATGCTCCTGTACAGACAAGTTCCTGAAAATGAAACACAAGAACATTATTTAGCCAAAAACAAGCTCACTGTTTCCGAACAGTTCATATGCCTGTGGAGTCCCTGCCAAGCTTAAGAGCTTGAAGTCATGCAGGGGCTCTCCAAAGCAGCACTTATCTGGTCACACAGATCAAGATGACAGCACTGTTGTTTTCACTGTGGCACTGAGAAATGACTCTTGAAATGTGAACTCTTGCTGAAGAACCTCTCTTTTGAACTGTGGTTGTCAAAAAACAATGAAAAAGAAAAACTGTGATATTCCCAAAATCAGGTTTTTTGTTTTGTTTTGTTTTGTTTTTTAATTGAGAACTCTCATATACAGCCTGTGGAATTCTGTGCAAACAGAAGCAAACAAAGAGCTTCATACAACATAGTGCTTTTTGGTTTGATCTCGCATTCAGTTATATACATATTGGCTTGAATTGCTCAGGACAATTCCTCCATCCCAAATCTGTTCCTGATGCTGGTTTAGAACATAAGGTAGTCCAGCCTGAGACTTGGTTCCATAGGCAGCAAAGCAGGCTTGCTCAATCACTCTGTCTTGAGACGGGCAGCCTCTCGCCGTTGCTTCTGAACAGTCCTGGAATCTTCCCACAGCTGGGGTCCTCTGATGTTCTCCCAGTTATCCAAGTCAGATTTTTCCAATTTCTGCAGATAAACATCAAACAGAAGTGTCACCTTGAAAGCATTATGATTTAAAATATGCATTAATTTGAACTGTTTTCTATCTGTGCAAGACACAGCATCACCATCGGGGTGAAGAACTGTCATCCACCCTCCAAAAGTTGTTCAACAACAAAGAGAAATAATTTGGAAGTATTCATATAGCTAATAAATGATTAAGGTGGCATTACTGCCACTGCTTATCAACAGATAAGGAAAGGTAGAATAAGAAGACCTACAGCATCTGAACATGACTGAAAGCATTTCTGTATTCATTCTTTCTTCGCTCACCTTGTTTTCCAGATCAGTTCCTCATGTGCAAGTCTGCCTGAGTTGGGAACGATAAGCGTTGGTATAGCTGCATCACTTTTAGTGCTGACCTCAAGTATTCTGTCAGCACAGATACAAATCTTGCTGGAAAAGAGGAATCATCCAGCACTATGAGAGACAGTAACAGTGCAATTCCCTCAAATCCGTGCAGTTTTAAGTGGAGAGAAGTGCACGACGCTTTCTGCTGCCTAGCTTTGTATGGTACCCAATAGACACAGGCCTCTCACGAAGTCGTACACAGGATGTGCTTATTGGCCAGGCTGTTAGCATATACTTAAAAACTAGTTAGATTTTAAATGATCTCCTTACCTGTTCCTATTATCCCCACTCAGATGAGGTACTCACCACAGTCTTTATCTAGCCTGAGGGTAGAGCAAAAAGGAGAAAGAGGAGCCCCTCTAGCTTCACCCATCAAGTGCTGCTGTTGAGGAAGCTGCTGCTGTTGGAACTCACCTCCACAGTCTGGGAGAGATGCAGAAGTACCTAGCAGGTGCAGACCCAGAGCCAAACCCCACCCAATGCTCTGTAGATGACAGCTTGCTCTATCAAATAGTGCTACTGTGCTCTTTTTACTTGCTGTAGTTTGCACTGAAATAAATAGGAGGCAACGCTTTTGGAGCAATGTAGTTTAATTTGAGCTTGTAGTTTAATTTGCTTTAATTTGCATGCAAATACTAAGGGACTTTAAAAATAACTGCAAAACAATTCAACAGCTATAACAGACCTGCTACTATGAGTTCGTGTTATATAAAAGTTTTCTGCCACTTCTACAATTTGCAATAAGTTTTGTCAGATATCAAAAGAAATTAGGCAGCGCTCAACAGAAGATCTACGAGAACACAGACACAGCAGACTTTCCCAAGGTAGAAGCAGCTGAGTTTCTCATACAGTGGAGCTGGCATGGGTCTTTCTGAAGCATGGCCCTCACTATTTATACATCTTATAACTAGCTGCTATTTGATTTCAGCTGGAAGGGATCCGTGCTGACCTAGGAAGAGGGAGAAGGAGGGTGCTCAGGGAAGGGACGCATCATGCCATGCATCAGCAACTATCCACTCTGCAAATTCAGACTTTAACACCTGATTCATAGCCTTGTGCTTTAGCATATGGCAGGCCTGCTGATTTTATTAAGCACAGAGGTACCACACAGCTGTGAAGTTCTAAACTATTACCAAGGGTGCTCAGCTCCCAAAGTCCAAACAAGAAACAGCACTTAAAATATATACCACAAAGCTTGTAAAACCTGAAGATACACTATGTAAGTGTATCAAGAGAGAGATGCATACTGGAGAACCTTACCAAAAGTTTGTATTAATCTGCCCTGGAAATTCACAATGGCTTTTCAAAGAGTTTATAAAATCTTCCAATGGAAAGAGTAGAAGCAGCTGGAAAACACACTGTGATCTAGTGACAGAATAAAGCTACCACAGCTCTCTGCAGTAAATGCAATTGCCTCAAACTACAGCGCAGATGAGATGTATGTACAGTTCTTTTTTTTGTCAATTAAAACACAAAGAATTAAAAAGTCTACTGAATGCAGAAAGAAACATTTTTCTTATTTATTTTCTTTATATTTACATAAAAGGTAACTTCTTTCCCTCTACAAAGCTTCTTCAGACTACCCAAGCCGCATCACACTGTTAGAATACAGGCATGATGGCAGGGTTTCTTTCCAAATGAAGCGAACCTGACTGGACTGGTTTCATTTTTTTTTATTTTTAGACCCCTGTACTGTGCCCACCTGATTTCACCATAAAGATGGTAAGCCATCTCCAGCTTTTACTGAATCCATACAGTCTGGCAGTTTTAAAAGTGAAAAGCTTTTTTTCCCAGTCAAATGTACTAAATAGTCAATCATTGGAGACTACAATGAAATGTAATCAGATCAGACCAGCCCCACTTTCCCTGCTCATCTCAAATAGCCCCAGGGATAATGAAAATTAGCTGTTTAAAGTAAGATCAGTGTAGTCCATTAAATCTACTGATTCACTTCCTAAATCAGCTAAACTGCCTCTTAAAAGTACAGGACTGACAGAAGCTGTAAATCCAAGAAAAAATGCAGTTATGCAGGCAGGCATAGTGAACAAAAAAGAACATTCAACTCTTTGCAACACAGCTGACTTCTAAAACTTTTGTTAAACAGCCCACATGGCACCAGTGCACTGCAGAGGACAGAAAGAAGCCTTCACCTGTGAGCTGGTTCAAATATCTGGCTGGTTGGTTAGTAAGTAAAAGCCATAATCCTCTGTAAACCTTACAGTAAAATAATTTTTTTAAGAGTTTGAGTTCTACTCCTGCAGGATCGTTGTCAGGCCACAACAAACCCAAATTGGCAAAAATACGTGTAGAGCCTTGCTGCAATGATGGACTTAATTCAGAGTTGCCACTTGCAATAAACGTTTGGCTGTAGTCTGCTTCCTACATATGAAATCCCGTTTATTGCATAGCGCATTGCAATAAGTTCTGTGACGAGTGCCACAGAAAGAAATAACTCTAACTCAAAGAGACAATTATTTCCCATTATTATAGTAAGCAACCCCATTTGCAGATAAAAGCTTAGCCAGGGAAGAACATACTATGGCTGAGAAGCAATGAAAGAAATGCATTAAACTTGGCTGTTCTTGCTAGACTGTCAAAACAGCTTGAAGTCCATGAAAGATAGACTGAAGAGCTCCATTCTGACACAGAGATGCAGACGTGCAGAGTTAAGGTTTACACTATATTTCCTCCAGAGGGACTGAAAGCCTCAAGTTTATCATCACATTTCTCGGGTTTTATTATCATTTTTTCCACAGCATTTTTCCCAGAGCCATGTCTCTGACATCTCATTTTCATAATAAAATTTTGGTTTCACTCACTTTGCTTAGGATGCAACAAAATTTTATATTTAATTATCTGTGATTTAATTATCTATATTTAGCATCCCTAAGATTAAAAAGAGGTACCTTTCTTTTTTTCCAACTAGAGAATGTTTAGTTTTTGTATTAGTTATACGTAAGTGTATTAGGAAATTGAATGCTATGGCCAGAATATTTTTTGCTCAGTAAGGGAAGAAATGTGAAGTTTTTGCATTTAAGTCTCCACAGGTTTAATTATCTTTTTAGCTTTGCTGAAGACTGGCAAAATCCACACAGATGAAACCAACAGAGTTCTTGTTGCTACCTTCGGTAGGACCCAATGCTATTCACCTACAGCACAAACAATTAACTTAGCACGAGCTTGGTTAAGAGGCTCTTTCTACATAGGTTATTTTCCCCTTAGTTTGGACAATTCAGCACTGTGGGGCTGTGCCCCAAATCAGAAAAACTGAACTACACTGGGATATACTGTTTAGAAATTAACTCTATTTAAGCATAAGACTACGCAAACACTCCAACTGGCATGGCAGAAGGAATCGTAGGATTGAGAGTGAACAGAAATATCTTTAGTTGGCAATGTTGTAAAGGATTTGTATCATAGATGCCATCTATTTGCAATGCCAAATTGTCTATTACATTTTTTTCCCAATCTGAAGAATGAGAAATGCTTGCCTTCGTCTCAGAGGTATCATCAAGTTTAACGTTTGCAGAGTGCACTCATAATCTCGTGTGAAGATGCTACAGCGATACAAATTACTTAATAAAACAAACAATTAAGGTAGTTGGTTAGAACTATATGGTTACACAACTTTGCCATGACTTCCCCCTTTACTCTTAATATGAAAATCTTGGAAGTCACACTAAATCTCACGAAATAACTTGCTATGTATGCATCACACTCACACAGCACACACGATGGACTTCTGGGTTCAAAGAATTTACAGAGCGGTATGGATGAAGTCAAGAGAATTCAAGCTGCGTGGGTCATTTGCTTCATTGTTTCTTCCTTCATCAAAATTGAAACTCTGAAATAGTCAACGTATAAAGAACAGCCCAAGTTCTTTATTACACCTGCAAAATCAAACGTCCAAAATTCAGCAAATTCCACACTGAATTAAGTAATGAAGTACACTTAGCATGGATTCTACTTCCCTGGTATATGGAAGTCTTATTAAGCTATGGTTAACTTGTGCTTGGAAGTAAAAAGCTGCTTACTGAGGTTTATTTTATGAATTTACACTTCGGGAGACGTAGCCAAGCTGACAGCAGTGAGAAATTTCTGGATGTTAAGTGTCTTATCTTGCCAACTTTGCATCATAATGAACTCTGCAAAGGACTGTCCTGGTTTCTGCAGCAGAGCCCTCTAAAAGAGGGACAGACACTTGGGATGTGTGCAAGCTCTCTTTCAACTATTGAAAGCTGAGCTTGGCTGAAGGAGATCCAAGATCTTTTGCAGTGCAGAAGTGTAGTAAGAGCAACAAATCACTTCTGAACCCTCTAGGTCTGTGGCTAGGAGGTAGAGCAGATGCATTTCCACAGCTTGTCCCTGTCAAACGCCTGCTGAATTTTTAAGCTGGCAACACAGAGAAGGTTTCTTTCACGTATCTTACTTGGATTATAAATACACTTTCAAGTGTGAACTATTTTTTCACTATGTGTATCTAAAGTTTGGCAAAATGTATCTGTCTAACAATTACAAAAAAAAAAACAACACAAAACCTCTTGAACATCTAAACCGAAAAGCATTGTACAAGGATCGAAATACACTGGACTTACAAGTCACACCTGGTGTTTTTC